GTGGATCTTTTTCAAAAGTCTGATATCATCAGCAATAATGAATGTGAGAGATACTTTGTTTAAACTGGTGGAACATTAATTATCTAAGTTGACATCTGAGTTTAAACAAATCTCTATTAGGAAGGTCACAGAAATCCTAGTCTTAAATATATTCCAGTAAGATCTCATTGATTTACACCCCTTTAATTTTTATGTTTGTGAGGATGCTGATAGACTGAAATCACACTATTCTATGAAAAAGATGTGGTGTTTCAGGGAAGACGAAAAAGGAGAGAGGCCGGCTGCAGGTCCCTGTGAGGACACAAATGTGATAATTCCTAATGAGGGCACCGCAGACACAGCATCCAACTGAGCTGCCAAAACCCATCCAGTGAATTCAATACTTCCTGCTTTCTGTCGTCTACAGTAGATATTTGAGTGGACCAGACTTTTTCCCAAGAAGATGCTTTAGTGCCCTGGGGGATACCCAAGCATAAATACATGAGGTTAGATGTGACAAAACCAGTATCAAGATGGTGGCCTTCACTGGATGCTGCAGGAAAAATCCACCATGTTTCTTTCCTTCAAACTCTTGAGGGTTATTTTCATCACTTCTTTGTTCTGCTTATTTGTCATTGACAGTTCAACTGGAGGTTGAGGACAGGACACACACAGTCTGTGTGTCCACAGCGCTCAGATTAACAGTGCTGTTGAGAAGGTCTCTGGAAAGAAATCCCAGGCGAAATACCACAGACAGCCCAGCAACCAAGTCTCCATACTTCATTCAGACATTTTATTTTTTAGAGCTGTTTCAGGATTAAAGAAAAACACAGAAAGTAAGAGTCCTCATGTACTACCTTTCCCCTGCCACAGCCTCTCCTGTTATTAACAAAATATAAATGCTATCGTTTACATTAGGGATCACTCTTTGTATTGGACAATACAAAGCTGATGATATCCAAGGGGTTTGACAAATGCCTAATGTCGTGTATCCACCACTACAGTATCCTGCAGGATGGTTCTGCGGCAGTCTCTCTGTATTTTTCAAATTTTATTTTGTGGTTGAGAATATATACGGCAAAGCATACACCAGTTCAATGGTTTGCATGTATACAATTCAGTGACATGGATTATATGCATTCTTTTAATTGTTGTACAGCCATTGTCACCTGTCTCTGCTGAGTCGCTAGTCTTTCCGTATTTAAATCATTATAATAACTTGATTCCCTCTCTGTGGATGGTTTATCACTTCCTGAAATCTTTTGTTGTGACCTTAGTACCTCTTTACCTTCCAGCCACCTTGATTGTCCACTACTGCTGCTCACTTTCATAACACAGCACAAGCAAACTGTTCACGCATGCCCCATTCCAGGCCCACACTGGTATGAGCTGTATGTGTGTACAAAGTGCAGCCTGAGAGGGGGCGCTGAGGAAAGTCAAGCTTTAAAGCATGAGCTCCATGGAAAAGGGGAGACCGTGGTCTTATGTTAGCGTTGTGTTATGCTAAATCTAGGCAGATTTTAGGGACCACTATCCTGTAACCTTTGCAATTCTTTTAATATCTGATAAGTTATTTTCTCTGCTCATCTAGCTCTATTATTGTTCATTAATTCATGCTATGAAAAAATGTTGGAC